AACACGCACAGTCCCTGCCGGTATATTTCATTATGCCGCGGAATGATGTAATTCAAGAATAAGGCCCGATTTGAATAGAATTGAATAGAATTGAACTTTCACGGGGCTCGTCAAGATCGGACGCAACGATTCCGATCGTATTTGCCTTTACAATCCTCCGTTTCTTTTCACGGTACAAAGGTTAAAGAAACGTGGACCTCCTGTTCTTGCTCTTTCTCTCTCTTCCGCATATATGTAATCGAAACAATCTGCGTTGAGACGCGGGTTATGAAAATCAAATCGGTAACTCGGTGTCTCGGGTGGGTTATTTATAGGAAAGCCACGGGACCAGCCAGCGAATATTGGACGTTAGTTGAAGAAAGTCGAACACACCATCGAGGGGGCAGGGAGGGCCCCACAAACAAAAGATCAGAGGTTGACTTTTGCGGCAAGGAGGCAAAAATAAATTCGAGGCATAATGCGTCTTTCGAATACAATGATTCACGGGATCTGCACTCGTACGGTACACACAACGCAACGGAACACTCTTACGCAATTTTCGCCCCAGCAAAAGCTCTCCCGTCTAATTTTATCACTTATCGCGCTCCCTTGTTTAGTATGCACTTGTGAAATTCACTTGCTCGGGCCGATCGTGATCGAACCGCGCCAAAAAGCCGGTGAACTTATAAATACGCTATCGAACATCGATCCTCCGCGTTTGTGTATGGCGGGGACCACCTATGTGTCGCAGCACGTTAACAGGCTGCTCGAAAAGTAAGGGGAAAAATACAGGGATTGTCGGCAACTAGCTTTTAATATTATTTCAATTCACCAGAATTCCCACTGTCGTTCGCAAAGTGAGAATGATGTATTCCCTAATTGTCCGTAATTTTTTTAAAAGAATAAAGCGAGGAGAAAGTACAGAGTGGATATTCCTTTTCTTTTTTCAACCAGTCAAATTTCTGAGAAATTCCAAACATTGTACTCATCGTGATTTGATCATTCTAATTGTCACAAACAAAATATATGTATTGCAAAACAAGTCGAAGGTGTTATTCCAAAAGAGTACGTCAAAAAAGGAAGAACATATTTGCATATGGATCGAGGTTTCGACCGTTTCCTCTGTTCTATCTGAGGTTATCTTATCGATACACTAGATAAGCAACAGGTTCTTCCTGTTTCTTGGAACGATAGCACCATTTTGTCCAATTTTGGGAAACCCTTTTAAGAGCAATTATCACAAGGCGATTGATTTATAGAGATATTCAAATCGCTATAGTCATATTACAGGGAAACGTTCGATACGCGTAACGATTTCTTGGTATTACAAGCGTAATTTCGTCAAGCTGTTGTTATTACATTATTATCAAACATTGTACAAGGAAACGTGGGGAAATTTTAAACTTGAGCGATGTTTAATCATCCGACTGAAATGCAATTTTCTTATATCTTGCATAATTCGATATTCGTTGGACAAATATTCGATTCAAAGTGAAACGACACGTTTGGAGCACATTTGGAGAGCATTGCTCACAATTTAGGAATACCTTCGTGTTTGTCATTCCGCGCTCGAAGCCATCGTTCTTCTTCGAACCACCGACCATCACAAAGGCAACCAAAAATTCCGAATTCCAAGCTGACTGGTCGTCGAAACACAAACGTGTGTCAACCATCTAATCAAGAAACCGCGAGGACGTCGATCCTGGAACGTCTTGCGAGTGATTCAATTGTACACGCGAGATGGAAATCCCTCCAAGGCCAATGACTAACGTTTACAGCGAAACGCCATAAACGGCGTAACGATTGTCATCGCGACGGTGATTTCCACTGGAGAATGCAACGACGAGAGTCATCCTGTTCTGTCAGGCAGGTGCTCGCCTCTAATTTCAGAGTGTGATGTCATTGCCCGGTGACGACCAAATATTCCGACGAACAAAGCGAGATCGCTTTTAACGCCGTCGCGTTGCCGCCTTCGTCTAGGGAATTAGCTCGTTTCGGTTCGACTCGAATTAGTCACAGACAGTTAGACGTCGAGATCACCTTCCGGAAAAAGAATGCGGCGAATAATCAGGCCGGGGAACGTGATCTATGATTTTAAGCAGTTCCAGCGTGGATCGAAGGCGTCAGAATGACGCGTCTCGATGATGAGACTTTACGGAGGATGGATGGAGGTGAACCGCACAATCCGATCTAGGAAGGATCGTCTTTGATCTCTCGATCGAAAGATAATATGTAGGACGTGTGTGTTGGATCTGTATTTTGTGTTTGTTCTATCTTTGGGATTTCAATTTTTTTTTTTCTCTCTTTCTTTCCTTACGCGACCTTCAAGAGAGATCTAATCAAAACTATATTAGGTGAGTCATCGTGTGACGACGCTTCTCGATCTATATTGACCATAATTCCTTGCACCGGCTCGCGCTGCAACGGCGAACGCCTTTGTCTTCTTTGTGCACCACTGACCTCACCGATCTGAATTAAGATACGGCCAGATCGTACGAAAGATTGTTAAGACCTTTCTTTTTTTCTTTTTATCATTTCGTTTCGAATCCGGATCAATTTGAACGGGACAATCGTACAATGGTATCGCACGAGGCATCACAGTCGCGACGTACATACGCGTACATGCAAATCGATAATCGTAACCGATGACAGCGCGCGAAATATGCCCGGTGAATTTTTAACCACGGATTAATCACCGGTGCGTTTATTGCGCGCATTCCAGAGCTCGATTTGATCGCGATCCGGCAAGATCGAGGCATTCGTCAAATGGTAAACAGACGCAGAGATAGTGTAGCCGCTCTGGTAATAGTCTGGTTGGTAGTACGCGAACCGCCATGATTCACCGTAGCGCCGCGCCGGGAATATTCTCCATTGGGAATAAAGTTCATCGATAATGCTCGCGATCCGGGTGAACAGGGATGATGATGCATCCTTCGATAAATCGTCGATGGATCGTGAATTCTCTGAATGTCGATCTAAATTCTTTATGGTAGTTGAAACACGATCTCTCTTGAACGTTCGATTTGGAAGAAAATCGCTCGAAAGCGAGTTACAATTAAATTCAAAGACTCAAAGATCCAACGTTTCAGTGACTTATTGTTAGTTTCAAAGACTCGAAGACTATTACATAGACAGATGACACAAAGATTTTGAGATTTGAACTGGGAATCAAATGATCTTTCACGAAGAACAGATTTGCAAGAAAATGGATGAGACATAATTCTATATCTAATAGATGCTATTCGTTCAAAGACTCGAGGACTCAAAAATTGGACAAATATAAGAAAATTGTATAGATTCGAAATTTTAACAAAAAAAGTCGAATGATCCTTCTTGAAAGTCAGATTTGGAAAAAAAGATCAAGTCTACTATCAAACACACGTTACATCATTGGATTAATTAGAATTCGAAGATGTCGAAATTCAAAGATTACGATTCGAATGAAAAATTATAAAGAGTTATAAAAGAAATAAATAACACACAAAGACTTTGGAATTTCAACGGGAAATTTTTGAAACGTTCGTGTCACGTTTTTTTTTTTTTTTACCGAAAATCGGCCGAATACCGAAGGTTTCGTCCACGGCGTAGAACCGTTCTCGCTATCGAGACGCAAAAGTTGATATCGATGCCCGATGCGGTTAACTATGAGTCACCTAGGCAGTTCTCAACGTCCCTGAATTACATCGACGATTTACGCGCGCTTTTGTTTACCAGCATTCAAGATGGAGACGAAATTTACGCGAGATATTCGCATCGCGCGGTCCAATTCACGCTGACTTCGTCGTCGTGTTTCGCGAAAACGTTGTCGCGAGATGATACAAAATAGCATGAAATATTAATCGAGACGATAATTTATTTGTTAATTCTCCGAGAACGAAAAAAACATTTGTCAAAGATGGTAGAACTTGTTTAACGTTTGTGCATATTTTCATGTACGAATTATTTATTTCGAGAATATCGATTGATCCTTTCTCAATCATCACTCTTCTTCTTGGTAGCTATATCTTTCTATTCTATACAGAGTAGAGTAGAAAATTTACCGAGACGTAATAATTGCACTCCTCGAGAAAAACGCACGACAAAGTGACGTAAATCTGTTTACTATCGAAATTCCATCTTCAACGTTTCGCGTCACGAAGTGACGGCTGTGTGATTCACATCGTTCGCTGTTTTAAATATTCTCGAGTACGCAGAAGATTCTCTTCGATTTTGTTGAACGTTCGTACAGAGAGAGAGAGAG